TGTTTTTGTATATGCTAGTTTATAGTCTCTTGTCAGTTTTAAATATTGAAAATATCTTCTCCCCATCTTTTAACTTCGGCTGTGCTATCCTTTGTTGATGATAAATCCTTAATTTGGTGTAATCAAATGATTTTTTTAATTTTTTCTCATTATTATTTCTTTATGGACTAGAGCTCACAAAGATAATTTTCAACTTTTATTTCTATTATATATCATTTTACTTTTACATATTTAGGATTTTATTGTTTCACGATTTCCCCCTTCATTAATTAGAAACCCAGTTTTACTTTTCTCTGTATACAGTCATTTTTCACAATACTATCTGCTAAGCAGTCTTCCCTTTCACCATGAATTACTGGTGTCATCTTAAATATTGTCATATACAAGTGATTAGGGGCAGATTACCCAATAAACAAAGTAAGCATGGGCTTACTTGTACTTACTAATTTTTGGTGAAATTTTTCTTTATTTTTTACTGCATCAAAGACTTTATTTTTATTTATAGCTGGCATCTGTCTGTCTCCTTGTCATCCCCAGAGCACTTTCCTACATAATCAAAGCCTCTTCTTGACATGTGAAAATGTTTGCTACAGATAAGAAGAAAGCACAAATGAGCCCATGCTTATCTTGCTTATTGAGTAATCAGCTCCTGTTGGTTACAACTTCTCAGGGAAGGTTTCTCCTAGACCATTGTATTAATTTTCTATTGCTGTTTAATAAATTAACACAAACCTGTCACCATAAAACCCACCCCCACTTTTTAGCTCACAGTTCTGTAAGTCAGAGGTGTGTAGTGGTGAAGTATAGGGGTTAAAAGAAGAACTTGAGGTACTAGCATATCTGAATTGGGTAATTTCAGATCTGACTTAAAAATTTCACTTTGAAATAAACTAAGATTTTCATTTCTACTTTTCTGAAGAAACTAGTCAGCCATTTTACTGTTGGAAACACTAAGGCAAAAGTAAGGATTTATAACTGAGATAAAGCATTTCCTGGTACCTGTTAAAAATATTTGTGCAGCTGGCCCCAGAGAAGGTGCCTTGGTCAGCAGGAAGTCAAGAAATAAAACTTTTAAATGAAGTTAGAGCCTTTGTATCTAAAATAGATATATGTCAACTTTTGTTCACTTCCTAACTTCCAAATTAAATTTCACTCACTAGGATTTTCCACTGTGTGTCTATTATACGTTTGGAAATTTGTAACTAAAGTAGAGTCTAAGTTTGTTAAGATAAGGAGACAGACTGCAGATGTGGCAGAAAATTAGCCCCTGACAGAAGGTTTTGTTCAACAAATCTCAGGATGTAACAACCTCAGAACAACTCTCAGGATATAATAACCTCAGAATGCAACAAATGAGTTTACTGATATGTTTAAGCTTGTAGTTTAAAAAAAAAGCCCTTTGTACTTGTTCCCGTTCTTCTTCTCCCTCCTCTCTGAGCCTGCTAGCAAAAATCCTTTGTTTACTCTGCCTTTATAAACCCCTACCGTTCTCTGTTCAATTCAGAGTATTGCAGTATCTTACATGGATTTCTCTAAATATCTTCCCATTTTGAAATAGTTCTATTCCTTCAATAAAATTTTTCTTTTAATTTCTAGTGGAGTGTTAGTGTAGTGTTTTCACTAAGGTCAAACATGACATGGCTGAGTTCTCTCCTCAGAGAATCTCGAGGTTGATGAGTATCACAAAGTGACGGTGGAACTGATTTCTTGTTTATGGGAGGAAACAAAAAAAAAAGGTTCATTCTTTTCAATGGCAGAACTCAGTCCTGTGTGGTTGTAGGACTAATATTCCATAAAACTAAAATCAATTGAAGGCTTTGTCAGGCTAACTACATTTTCTGTTATATGGTCCCTCTCATCTTCAAGCCAGCAACACCATGTTAAATCCTTTTCATGCTTCAGATCTCTGCCTTTCCCATATCGGATCTCTAGATCCATATCTGAAGGATCATGTAATAGGGGCAGGCACAACTGGTTAAACTCTCCAGGACATATAACATAGTCTAATCATGGAAGTGAAATCTGTCATATTCACAGTCCCAGGATGATCTAGGGTTTACACAACAGGAACAGAGAACTTAGGGGTCATCGTAGAAGTTTGCCTGCTACACCCATTTTTTTTTCCTTACCAAGGCAACTTTTCTAGAATTTCTAAAATGTTTATTGTATTTCCTGAACTATCTTTGATTCTTCTGGAGTCACTTACTGTGTTTTACTTGGTCATCCTTTTAATGCTTTTTTTCTCCCACTTTTTTTAATTGTTGCTAATTTTATATTTGCCATTGTGCAGTTCCATTTCCTTAAGAAGTACCCCTTGAGTAGAAGGGTTGACTGTGGGCTTTGTAGGTGAGTAAGATACCGTGAAAGACAGGACTTTTGGAGGCTATATAACATGAAGGAGCTCTGGTAGCATAGTGGCTAAAGCACTTGACTGCTAACCAGAAGGCT